GGGGGGGGTTGTAAAAGCTCGACTAAAATCCCCATCGAATGCTGTGCCCTGTTTAACGTACATTGCTAGGGACCAACTAGAACTTTCTAGCACATTTTTCTTTTCACTTACATGAGGCTCGAGAAATTTCTTCAAGTCGGCGACATTATCGAGAATGGATAAACGGCTGAATGTTTTGGGATCCATGATACATTTCGTGATCTAAATTGTAAGTGAAAGAAAAATGTGCTAGAAAGTTCTAGTTGGTCCCTAGCAATGTACGTTAAAAGTAAATTCTGTGATACTTCCATTTTCCCTTTGAATATCGATCCCCTTCGATTCACACCATCATCACTGTGGATGGAACACCACCGTTATTATTTAAGTTAACTTGAAACCGAAAAAAACCTACTTTGAACATTAACGACATGATAGCAGGAGGGTTGACGATTACCAGTTTGCACATCTGGAAATAAATGGACTTCAGGAAATAAATGTGAATTAAAACTATGACTCGGCACTATTCACCCTTCACTGCTGTTTCTGGTAAAGTACAGGGCAGATCTGAGTCGGAATTTTCTGCTGGAGTAGATTTGGCTAAGACTTTTGGAGTAGTTTGATCCCTTGAACAAGCAAGCACATCCCATCCGCTCTGCGAAAATGACTGACCAAAATAGCAGGGTCCGGCGCCTACATACATATACTAAGGTCTAGGGCAAATCACCAGATTTATTGCAATTTTTTTGCCAGGGGTAGTGGGTAGTTTGACCAATATTTCCTCTTGACGAGGACGGGGCTCGAGTAGTCTCTCCCGCTTTCGGTAGAGTGCGCCATCAGGGCAGCTCTTAGCATCCAGAATGTTGGCAAAAGCTATTATATGGGGAAACTCGATCATAATCTCGCCCTAATATTCCAGGTTGGGTGGATATGCCGCTGAAAAGGGGTAATGTGACGGTAATGTTGATTAGAACAGTAAGGCGTCCGTAAGAGAAGTCCAAAAAGTACCCACACTTTCACAGAAGTATTCTGACCAGATTTTCACAGTGAGACGAGAGAGCTGTGCGTGAGTTCCGAGTGGGTTTATGAACTCGCTCATATTCACACCTTTCATGTCAAGAATGGCGACCACAGAGGAAGGACGTCCTGAATGGTCGATTACAGAGTGCTGAGTATATGGAGTCTTGCTCGCCACGAGTGACGGGGCGGGTCAGTGAGGCGCGATTTGACGCTCCGCCAGCCCATTCTTCACTGGTTATTGAAGCGAAAAAGCGATAACAAGTGGTGAAAACTGTGGCGCGAACAAACAATACACTGCTAAACCTTGCCGAAAGAAAAAAAACGGACTGGCGTTGCGCCAAACTCATCCCCCTCGACATGCCCCTACACCCACAGCAAGCGAGATTGTAGAAAAGTTTCTTGTTGTGCTGGGCTGATTTTAGCGACTCCTTCTTCGCGATGGCCACAGAGCTTTCTTAAAGGCACAGTTCGCGACCGCAAATTGCGGGAAACGGAACTCAAATAGGCACAAAAAAGTGCTAAGTATCTGATTAGCGGAGAAAAGCAGCAGAAAAAGCAGTCCGAAATGTTATAGAGAAAGATAACATAGTGGCTACTAGCTAGTAGCTAGCAGCCGGTGAGGGTCGGCATGGGCCTAAGGGGTGTCCATGGGCCTAATTAGTCAGCTTCTAGCGGAGTTCTTGCCGTTTTTCACATTTTGAAAGTAGCGCAGCCTCAAAAATCGCCTTCCGGATCGTCCGACACATTTGAGTCATAGCCTTATTTTATCGCGGAATGTGCCTTTAAGAAATATAAAGCAGCGTTGATACCCTGCCAAAGAACGCTATGGTGCGAGTATTCCGTCACATAAATGCGGTCTCCCCCTCCTCCAGCATTATAACAAAATAAGAAATTCAATGGATTTTTTCTAGTATTACCAGTTTTCTTCTCGGTTTCGGCGACTGAACGGCCAAACACCTCGTGTTGCATGAAGTACGAATGCAGCACATACGATAACGGAATGACCTTCATTATCTGAAATAAAACCCGCAATATGTGCAATAAAAGTTACCGATATTCTATACTTTTTGAAAGCATTTTGGCCTGTACCACGTTGGTGAAAAAATTGTGTCATATTTATATGCACTTGAAGTATTGCCTTCCAAGACAATCTGTACCTTCACCTCAGTGGGCCTATTCCTTGCATGTGCGAGGCGAATGGGCCCACAACTGCAGTAGCGTGCCACTTCTCTGGCCAAAATTGCACGGGAACGGTGCTGCGGTGACAGTTCGTCTTCAAGCGGTGTAGTAGTACCCGAGTGCTGTCTCCATACTTCGCCCGCAATGCCGCACGGTCAGTCATGCCTCACCATCGCTACTTGTCTGCGCGATCTCACTTCTGGTTGTTCTCTAATTGCGAATGAGTGGTTTCGCTGCGGGATTTTGGTATCGATGAGAGTGCTGTACTCTGAGGATATCGCGAGCCAAGTATGGAGCACTTTGAGCGGAGGAAATGACGCGCTACTACTGCGGACACCTCGCATACAGCAAGGATCTCGGAGGGAAGTGTACAGTTCGTCTTCAAGCGATGGCATCCATGAGGTGCGCAAGAACTGGTAATTCCTCCCAATAAGGATGTTCGATATATTTGACGCCTAAAATCACATTCCTCTACAAAAAAAAGTTGATTCCTGGATAATATGACAAAACTTCTCCGCTCGACTAAGACAACTTCTCCTGAAGTAGTCAGCAGGGCACGCCATCGTTGGGATAATCACAGCAGGGGGGGGTCGTATTTGACCTGAGAAATTTTGTATGGTTGATTGCTCTCGTTTAACGAACGCCATGAAGGGCAGTGGGTATTTGCTCGTTGTTGGGAGGGGGTCGTATGTGTCTTTGAGATTTTTTAGAGACGGCGTTGGGAAAAACTTTTCCCGGTTGTTGGCTTTTTGCGGTTTTTCCCGTTTCACTGGTGTTATATATCCCCTGCCCCCGCTCGACGCTTGGGCAGAACCAGAAATTTTTCGGGAAATGCCAGGAAGCGAAATGTAAGAAAATGGCAGGTGATGGGAGGGGGTCGTATAAGAGAATGAAATGAAGGGGGTGTGTATTTTCAGGAATTATCATAACGCGATGGCGTCCTGGTAGGCAGACAAGGTAGGCGGTTACCCACTATGTACCCCATCCTCCAACAGCGTATTCCTTGATAGTATAAAGATGAGACCAGTATAAGTTAATGAAAACTGTATGAAACGAGGCACTTTCCGCGATAAAATAAGGCTATGACCTTTCAAATGTGTCAGACGATCCGGAAGGAGATTGCGGAGGCTGCGCTACCTTTAGAAAGTGAAAATCCGCAAGAATCCGCTTTCAAAGCGCAACACAATTAAGGCCGCAAAGGCGCCCTTAGGCATTGCGACCCCAACCGGCTGCTAGCTACTAGCTAGTAGCCACTATGCTATCTCTCTCCATTCCGAATGGTGAGAGTGAGGTGATACGATAAAAGAGCTGATATCTTTATGATAACGACGAGTGGAAATTCGTACAAACATGCGTTTTCTTCATTGCATGCATGTACAAGTTGGGGTCGATATGGAATCCTATTTAGGGCATTTTCGGCTGTTTTTCTGCTGCTTTTCTCCGCTACTCAGATACCTAGCCTTCTCTTCGTTCCTATGTGGGTTCCGTTACCCACAATTTTGGTCGCGGGCTTTGCGCTTTAAATGAAAACTGTATGAAACACCGCTCTCTTAAACTATGTAATACCTCTTTCAGATCGCATCCTTCCATCTTCTGAACGGAAACATGAACGTCTCCAGAAACGAGATTCCGGTTCATGAGTGAGATACAGAATCGCTGAAATTACGAAAGAACAGTACAAAAGGGAAGTGTTATAAAAGTTATTCTGTACGCTGCACCTGAACAATTCGGTCAGGTAATCACACTAAAAGAAATGCAAAATAGGGCCTCTGAGACCTTCCAAGGCCGGCTTCTTGGCTGCGGCGAAAGGCGTCATCGGTTTACGAGTTGGAAACTAACTGAGCTGGTGGGCGAAATGAAAAAATAGGTGAGATTGCACAGGCTTATCCTTTCCGAATGCTAGGGTGTTTGGGACTGGGTTTGGTGCTGCGCCAGCGTTTTTTAACCAGTTGTGTAAGCTGGTAGGCGACCGCGATTGGTGGTTGTGGAAGCAGGCGGGCGACCGCGATCCGTGATTGGTGGAGGGTAGGCGCTCCATGAAGAACAACAGAACGAGAACAACACTGCATTTCCTCGTTTCTATTATATGCTATCTGACTTGGTCTTTCATAAGAGTTTCTAGTAGGAGATGCGTTTTAAACAAGGAAATTATTATAGAAAATAGAAATTCAATGTATTTCTAAGTACAAACTTAATGTACAATTAAAATGCAAAAATTTTACTACATGAAGTTATAGAGTAGAAATGAGAATCTAAGAAATACAGCTAATTTTCGCGGCAGCATGAAAAAGCGTTCTGAATGGAAAGTAATCTAAACGTGAACCAGTAGTCCATTGATAAAATATCCAATAAAATCAATACTCACCTCAAAAGTTTCTTTTCCGATTGGGAACTCAGTGAGAATCTCCTTATCGCTGCTATTTGCGTAACCAAGTACTTCCCTAAGAACAGTAAATATGAACTTGTTACCAGAGACCTTTGGTGTCTTGACCACGAATATCACACTCGTTCTCGGTGCTACACCATTTCGCGCCATTAGGCACCAATCTGACGCCATCCCCTTTCCACCAACGTCTCAAAACTCGTACACAGGGGTTATTTGACGTCCTCACTATGAATGACATCATTCTCGTGCTAATATCAGGCACTCTGTTTATCTGCGCTCTGCTGAGGCTGAGCCTAAGGCAGCGTTCAGACTTCGCGACGACAGCGCTTCGGTCGCGCGTTCGTTGCAGTGCAGAAAGCATCCAGCGCGACCGAAGCGCTGCCGTCGCGAAGTCTGAACGCTACCTAAGGGGGAAGGGAATCAATCCTCCTCATCGGCTCAGCCTCAGTGGAGCGCTAAATGGCGCTCGTAAAATGAACGTCTGTGAACAATATAACGAACTACCCCTATTAGCAAGGTTTCAGCAGGAAAAAACTTGAATATCAGGGATAGTAATAGCTATAGTGCTCCATGTTGTCATGTACTGATCATGAATGGTTGAGTAAGTCTTCCCAAGACTTAGCGGTGGTATGTTCTGATTTGAAGCTATACTTTTTTATGTAAAAGTGTGCTACCAATTCGGATTCAGACCACAGAAAGTGAGAAATTCCGCTATTAGTAAGATATTGTAATGCTTACACATTGAGCAGTGAATTTTTGTGGGCTTTTGGTTTAAGAAGGCAGACGGTATACAGTACTCCGACAAATTGCGCGTGAAATCAGTGTGCGCGTGAAATCCTGGACGACACTGATTTCCCGTGACCGACACATTTAAGCATACCATATGGCCTGCGATTACCAGATTGATCAGTGAGTGTACTTTTATTCGTCTCTGGTTATCGCCTTTTGCACTGGCTTGGTTGATGAGCGTATCATCCCCTGCTTGCGCGCGTCTCTTCTGCAACGCGCTTCAGCCTGTGCAGGAGGAGGGGAAGCTCAGCGACGAGGCCAGGAAGTGAAAGCACGCTAACACCTGTAGCCTACACCTATTGCCAGGTGCTGCCTAAGCGTGAACTAGTAGGGGCTACTGTGTACATTCGATTCTAAGCGTAGTTTTGGGTACTATATCGACCCGGTTTTCCTGAACTCATAGTTCTCAACACGAATGGCTTACCTTCAACCATGCAAACTTTCAGACGCTCCCCCCCTGAGGTCTCGTCTGTGACACTGGAGAAGTTGAAAAGTGGAGCAACAACAACCCACCGTACCCCTTTCATTTCTGAATAACATGGAAACCAGCTGGTTCTTCCTTTAGAAGGTCACCTCTGAATTAGCACTAACTGAAGGTTGTGTCATCTTGCACCATACAAACTAGTCCTGTGTGTGAAAAGAATATTTTGAGGTTCGCAGATTCTGCTGTTATACTCCTTATCCCTGGGACGGGGTAGGCGTGGCATTCGAACATGGCACAGAACTGGTTACTCGTGGGATATTTCAATTTGAGACAACCGCCATCTTGTTCTTTGTTGGACAGAGACGTGACCACATTTGGGTCAAAATGAAAATATCTCTCCAAAAGCATAGCCACCACGACGTTCAGTTGAAGTACGCAGCCACGCCTACCTCATCTCAGGGATTTCGAGTGTAACTTTGCGCTGTGCATGATCCCAATAACGCCGGTTTTTTGTGTAAGGTGCAAAGAACGAGGTAGACAAAGATTTTTGCCCAAGCTCAGAAGGTAATCAGCTTTGAATCAGAAATGAACAGAGTTACAGGCAACGTCTCGAACGTACAAACGCTTCGGCATGGGATATGGTTCTGAATTTTAACAGACTCATTTCTGCTCAAACTCTTTCTCACGTTGAATTTCCCACAGGCATACATCATGTTTTCCTGGCTAAAGCCGTATCATGAGTTCTTTAAAGGAGTATTATCATATGAAACCAACCTGTGACTGAGATATTCTTCCACCCTTTTTCTAGCTATCTCCTCATCTCCTCCATGAGCTCGTAGGAACCGTGCGAGGAAAAATGGTGTATCAAAACAAGATGGTAATGGCAGCGTTTCTCTGAAACCAAAAAACTTAAGTACGCGGTCATCAGCCTGAAGATGGAAATACTGTTAGAGCCGCTCAGTTCTCTCAGAGTGCGTTTGAAGCCGGATCAAACACATGAGTTTTCCCTTTTCAGCAATAAGGATAAAGGATAAAGTCTTCCGCTGTTGAGCAACTCCCTCTGCTGGATGCGCAGCAGTGTTGGGACTTCCATTCAGAATCGTAGTGGCTTATTGAATGCGATGTGGCCTATACAATGACTTGCGGTGGCCAGCCGATGTACAAGTCAGTGTTTTATCCTCCCAGACGAATCTGGTACCAATTTACCGTCCCCGGAGGGTAGAAGGCTATTACTGTTGCGGAGCGGGACCAGGATTGAACCAGCGCGCTTGATGAGCGCCACTTTGTCACTACACCACTCCCCCTCTTTTCAGGTATAGAAGTAGGAAACATAGGGTTAGCTCTGCCCTCTTGGTCAGACTTTTGAACCAGAGCACGCCTTCGGTGCTTGCAAAATAACCCTCAAAATTCTCTCACTCCTACGGCTCCAACCCCTCCAACTAGAGAAGATAGTAGTTGTACAGCCAAATTCAATAACTGAGAAAAAAATTCTCCTGCACGAAAAAGTTTTTATAAAGGCAGAGCCCGCCATCACTTATAATCAGCTAACCACTTCGACTAGAGAGGTAGTGTGAACTACCCTTCAGATGGAGAGTTAACGAACAACCGTGTATAATATTCACGTCAGAAAGTAGTAAGGTAGCGGCGGTAAGGCGCAAAGTTGCTCAGGACTTCGCCTACGTTGCTAGATGTCCTTCTACGTCCTCCGTGTTTTGCGCATGCTCTCTCGCTGTTTTCTCTGCACTCTCTCCGACATCCTCAATGATAATTTGTCTTTCGTGTGGCACAAGCAGATCTTTTTTTGAAGCCTTGCGGCTTCTTTCCTTTTTTTCCACGATATAGCGCATACAGTTCTATTTCCCAAACCCCGCCTACGACTTCTCGCTGGCTCATCTCAAAGTCTTTCTCTGATATACGACTATCCCTCTCGAACTGACGAGCAGATACTAGTTCTTCAATGGGAGTACAATGCACTGTGGAGAGTGCGCGCGAAACAGGAAAAAATCAAGTATGAAAAATAGGTTGCTTTTAGCTGTCCACTTGAAGTAGTTCAATATCTGCAAGGTACCTCAGGTAAATGCACATTTTATTGGAGAATTCCAATAAAAGTGCTGAAAACGCGGTTTTCAAAATGTTCCTGGTTTTTTCTATGCAGTTCACCAAATGCTGATCCATCTTTATTCACTGAAAGCTTTCGTCTGCAAAGCTCTTCTCGATGGAACTGACTCACCTCATTTTTCTCGCCTTTTCCATGATCTCCTCCGAGAACGGCTCGGGAGTAACGAGTCCGTGCATTTTTTTTTCTTGAGAACGTCGGTGTTCACTGTAAGAAGAATATGGTAGGAAGGAATCAGTGTGAAAGTAAGACAAACGAATGATCGAAACGAGGCAGGCAGAGAAGTGAGAGTTCTCAAAGAAGATTCCCATAAGAGTAGCGACGAGAGCCTCGAAAAGTTCATCAGCGACTCGTAGGCCGACAAAGAACAGTAAAAGAAGGGGTTCCACGCTTTTGGCTTACATTGCAAATATTTTTACTCCCCTTTATCTGTATAGTCAGCACATACGTCATACCACTTCTTCGTAGTAATGCTGCCAATAATGCAAACAGATTCAAAAAGCTCAAATAGTTCTCATACTCAAAATAAATGTATTTTGCATTGACAATCAATTATTTAATTTATGCTGAAGGCAATTATTGAACGCTGGGGCGGAAATATAGAACTACATTATTAAAGCCTCGTGTTATAAATGGACCCATCCTCTACGGAGCGCCGCCATAATGACATCATTCCCTTTTTTGACCTTTGGGTGAAGGTAGTGTAGTGGCAAGTAGCGCTGCTTCAAGCGCGGCTCTGCTACGATTCTGGACGGGGGAACGCGCGCCCCAACTTAATGTGGATGATCAAAGATAATTGATTTTCTCCCGTTTTCCCTCAATGGCAGGTTTCCTGAAGTGCTTAAAAAACAGAAAAGGAAATAATTTGAAGATATGCACTGACGCGGGCTTCTTTCAGACCTTTCAGATTCCCAGCAAAAAAAACAAACTTCTCGCCGTCCATTTATTTGAAGTTGCGTTTTATACCTCTCAGCCTGTCAATGAATCCTAACATTTCTTCGAGCAGGGAGCACACTTTATAGTTTTCCTCAGCCACTATTTCCAATGTCTGCAAGACTACCGTAGCACTTAAATTTTTCGAATTCTGAAGAGTGAGCATCGGGGAATCGTTTTTCTTTGTGCGCCGGAAGGGTGCTCTTAGTAAATGAATAGAAGAAGCACTGGAACCCCAATCATCGAAAGTTATCATGCACTGAAACAAGCACCCATGAAGGTGCCCACCTTTCTGGAGTTCCGGAAGTCTGACAGTTTCTGAGTTGTCACATGCTGCCTCGATGATTTTGAGCAAAGGGCGCTAGCTCTACCCTGCCACACTCTGCGATTCTTCCGACCTACCTATATTTATCCATTTAGTGCTGCGTTAACTAGGCCTACTAAGGATGTGCATTGAAAATCGGACCGATTGAGAGGGATGACGGTTCGGTCTACCCTTTGCAAGCTAATAGATGGCCAGGTACAGGTGGTTTTCCTCAATTTCATAGCGATCTTGTCTCAAACACCATCGGAAATGTTGATGACTGTGCGTTCCGAGACTTTTAAGGTGCTGGGAGAAGGCGCACCCTTCACGCCGACTTTTTCATGTTCAAGGTAGCCTTTTTTGGTGCTCAAGGTTCCAGTTTCTTTCTTAACCTTTGAAAAAAACAGAAGTTCTAGGCACCCATTCAAAGGTCTCTCGACTTCCAAAATTAGAAAAATATGAGCAGTACGGTCCTCTGCAGATACTGAAGTTATTGTAGAAGAACTCCAAACCGCGCATCGTCTTTAACGATAAATGGTGCCATTTATTGGCAGTATCAACGGAGAAAAATATAAATAAGATAATAAGAAAAGGAATAGAAATGAAGATAGAAAAGCACTGATATGCGATGGCTGAGCGAGAAAAAAAAACCTATCACAGAAACCGTTCCAGTGAATACTTTCGATCGTTAGTGTACACCACATATCCCTGAGACGCGATAGGCGTGGCCGCATACCTAATTTGAATTTGGTACTTCGATTTCAACTACCGTCACCTTAGTTCTGTGTGTTAGACAATGTCATAGTCAAATGGAAATAAAATACAGAAGAGCAGTCGCCTGCACATTCGAGAAGTCACGCAGCTCCCACCACATTCAAGGATGTGAGTACAGTTTGTTAAAAAACAAAAGATAAAGTCTTGCCGTTACCAAGTGCAGCCGATGCCACAGTCTGACTTGTCTTTAATGAACTCAATTTAAAACTGCTTGCTACTGAGACTGCCCTGTAAGTGGAAAATGACGCCCCCACTCTATGAGGATAGATCAACGCTTAAAAGTTGGCTACGTGGCTTTGTTAGAAGGCCGCCCCTACTCCCCAGAAAAGAGACGCTTACGGTCGGTTGCCACGCTCACATTCCAGAGCAATGTGTGAAATTGAGAACTAGAATTGCACATAAACCGAACAGCTGGATGGTCATCGATGAAGGTCTTCTTAGGTATTAGAATTGTAAAAAATGCAATCAATGACGACATGCTGTTGTTCCACCTCCAGACGATTTATTATCTTCAGTCATGTGACCAACGTAGTTTTTGTCTGTTCAATGCAAGGCACCAACAAAAAAAAACTAGTTTTTTACGTTGCACTACAGCGGTTTTTTCCAAAAAACACTAACCTCATTTTGACAAAATTATCTATTAAATTCGCACTTTTCGTCACGAGCTTCCTCCGAGGTGACACTGACCATCGGAGCCTCGAAGATAAAAAGGTTCCGCTGGCACAGCAAGCAGCTACGCAGCCAAGTTGTAGACGCTGGTAGTGGAAGACGAGGTAGAGTGAGTCAGAGAATAAGATTTTTCACCCGGTCTAAGCCGTAGTTGTAAGGCCTTCGGCTTGGTGACAAGCAAATGTGTTCTGATATTCTAGCCAGTTTCTTTGATACCTCAGTAGCTGTAAAGAAGGATGGCCGAAAACCGGCGGTGATGGCCCACCACTGGCCCCGCGGACGCGGGTGTCCAATTGAGTCCTGGCTTTAGTTGTCTTCATCGCTGCCGCAGGATTCATGATTCAAATAAGCATTTGATCACGAGACTGTTCGAATGTGGCCTGCCTTTGCTTCAATACGAGAGAATTTCGTGATATGTTTGAGGAACGCGATTGTCACTCGATAGAGATGTGGTTCGGTCCTGATCAGGAACCCTAGCGGTTAGTGGTACTACTAACGCGTGTAGCCGCGCTGTAAGGCTATGATCGTCAACTGCTTCATCGCATCTCTCACGGAAGGTCGTTGAAACATGCGACCCCATCTCGGCGACGTTCTTAATCTCAGAGGGTTGAAACCATCTCGTGGATGAATACTACCTCCCCAGCCACGTTGGCGAAATCGCTCGAAGAGGTCATAGCATCGTAATTAATGTCTCCGGTACGCACTTCGTTCTGCTACGCAGCGAGGAAAGGGTGGTACATTCGTGCCACCTGATAGTGAAGAGTGCGCTTATGACGCCTAATGCAAATAGCCTGTCCTTATGTGATAGAAGTATAGCGATATCGCAGCCCCTATAAGTTAGAGCGATGTCAGGAGAGCAGAATTGAACGCCTCCGCTGCGTCTGCCTACCGTCTCATTGATTGTTGAGAGAACTTAACGCAAGGAAAAAGCCGCGGGTTGGCTGACTCTATTACTCTTGAGACCGCTGATGACTGTTTCCGACGATATCAGCACCATATATTGGATGAAACCGGTTGGGTGAGCCCTCACAGTGCAGCGAATTGCTACGACGGGAGTTGCACTTGGCCACTCAAATTTGATGACTTTGACGGGCACTATCTCCGTCAGCTGTCGAGTTGATGACCGCTTATACGGAAGACCGGAATAGCGCCCCTACTCACAAACTCCACTTGTTGTTTTATAGCTATGATTTTCTGAAGGCACGGTCGCGAGAAAAAGCTAGCCGATGTTGCAGATATGTGGAGGTTGGGGTAGTAGAAAGTCAGCCTAAGTGAACGTTTTGAAGAGAAAACCAAAGCGCGAACGAAGGAAAAGCCTTCCGTCAGGCCTTCCTCTGCCTCAATACAACTGTAGAGTAAAAACCGAAAGGTCGAGGGTTAGGACAATTACTAGCGGCGATTCCAGTAATGAACTTCTATTGACTTTAAAAGAGACTGATAAATACCGCTCCATCAACTTGCCGAGCATACTTTTGGCGTGGAAGGGCCGATCTTTGTGGAGTCGTGTCTGGAGCGGAGTCACGAAAAGGGATGTACCGCAGTGAAGCACCTGGCTCCTTGCATTCCTTTACCGTACAACTTCCCGCCGCGAAACTGCCACAGGTGGGGTCACTCCGCCGACCGCCACACCTTTCCACATACCCTTTTGCGTTTTCATAGGTCATCGCTGACCGCTCCTTTAATGGAATGCTTGGTTAAAAAAAGTGAAGTGTCAGAGTATACCAGATGAACTCCAACCCTCGAAAAACAATTTTCGAGAGTTGGAACCGAAGAGGCACCAAATGTACTTGGCAAAGAAGCGTCACCTCTAAAATACGATATACTTGATGTGGGGCCTATTAATTGACATCAGCGGACAAAATGGACGATTGAAAGTGCAAAATGCCCCTCCCTTGCCGTAGAGCGCCTAATTTCCTTCTAATGGTGCGCGCACGTGAAGTGAGCATGAGCCATGTAAATCAAAAATATCCGGTGTATATGTATAAACAAGGAAGATACAAATAATATACGGTATCATTGAGCGAAGAATACTATAATTGTTGTTGAAATATAGAATTGATAGTTGTCACAAATGTTATAACCCGCAACAGTTCCCATGGCAAGGTCCACTTTATCGCCTGCCTCGTGGGGGCAAGGATCTCATCGCCTGCCTTGCGGGGGCAAGGGCTATCAATGAGAAGAAATGATTCAACATGAATGTCCTAAGCTCGCTCCCAATTAGGCCTAGTCGAAGAATCTCAGATATTGCCATTCAAAGGACGGCCCGCGATCAGGTATAGAAGTTGAAAAAATGACATCGGGAGGTTAGTGTGGTCCGTGACGAACAACCTTGTGCCGGTTTGTCAAAAATTCTAAGAAAGGCACTCTAACGCCTACATATAGACGCCAAGTGACGCCTCCTTTTCCAGTGACGCCGCCTCAGGACTCTCTCCCCCCTCCTCAAGGCCCGCCTTTCAGTGAAAAAACGAAGCTGCAGGACGAAAAAGCATGAAAATCGTC